GTGACACATACGCTGTTTTTCCGAAGAAAAAGAATTTAATTTTGTTTTTTAAAAATAGAGTCATTTTTTGGTAGAATCAAAAAGGAGGACGAAATGAAGTTGTATGATTCTTAGGTAAACCCAAATACATCACTTCACATTTAAACAAAAAAAATATTTTCCAACCGTTAAAAATATGCGTAATTTTCCTTATTTTTGAGGAAAATACTTTTTTTTTTTGAAGGGTAGATTTTTGTTTTCCTCAAAACAAGAAAATTATTTTCTTTTTTATGATACATTTTTTTATGACAATCAAACACATCCTAAGTGTAATTAAAATGAGGTGTAAAAAATAAAAATTGTATTGTGAATGTAATTATCTTTTATATATTTTTAAAGATACAAGTATAAATGAAAGGACTATTCTGCTTGTCTAGGGCAGCATGGCCCCCTACCTACACTGGTGTCCTTGTTTGTATGGGGTCCATGTGGTCCCTACAAATAGCATGATCCTAAATGAAATAAAATAATAGTTGTGCAATATATACATAATGATTTATCAACGATGATGTAATGAGATTTAATTGGATTAAAATCTCATTAATCAAATAACTTATTCACTTATATTTTGACGTCTTATCATTATGTAAAACATTATATAAATAGTTACATACATAAAGTATTTTCGATAATATAAAATAGATTTTATTGTTTGTATAAAAAAACAATAAAAAAAAAAGACTGAAACGACGTGGAGGGAAGAAATTAGATAAATAAATTGATTGTTTTTTAAGGGTTTGTTTGTCTCCCATTATTACGAGAAAAATATAGTAATGAATAGTATTTTTTTGGAAAATGTATGGTTGAAAAATAAAGTAACTTTATTGGTTTGTATGTAAAATATTTTATTAGGTGAATGTGTAGTGGAGAATTTTATTGTAGCAAATAATTTTTTGAAATAATGTTAACAAATAGGGGCTAAATAGACAAATAAAAGAGTGTCACGTGACATTATATAGGCACGTAACATTGTCCAAATAAAATGACACGAAGATCAATAATAAGCCCATGTTTGGCTCCCATTATTTTGCATTTTTGGGGGTTGAAAATTTTTAGAATAGTGATTGATGGGAGAATGTGCGGTTGAAATTTTTTTGATTTGTGTGTAATAGTATTTTATTTGATGAATGTGTGGTTGAAATAAAGAGAAAAAAATGTAATGTAATTTAATGGGAGCCAAACAAGTTAAATGTTTGATTGGCCACTGAACTTTACACAACGTCACGGTTTACTCACCGAACTTCATCAGTTGTCCCATTAGCCATTGAACTTTACTCCATTAGTGTCTATCACTCACCCGACTGGATGCCGTTTAAATTGTTGCTGATGTGGACGACGGCATAATGACCTATCCAGTTAACTCTTTCCATATGGTAAGTTGAGTGCCAAATCAGCTCCCCGTCATCGCCACGTCAAAAATTAGTCTACACACTGCTTTGATAGGTAAATAACACACGACTTTGTCCATGAAATTACCAAACCCTAAGCTCCTGAAATCAATTCTCTCACGCGAAGTCGCTGTGGACCTCAAATCTATTCAATTCGTAGCTCAAGTAGTATCTCAAATTAAGGTAATATACGTAATTCTAGTGAGAAGATGTTGTGGGAATGGACGTAGCCTGGAAGTGTTGCTGAATGTGGGTTTCAAAAGTTGAAGAACCCATATGTCTCGGTGTTGTTAAATGGGTCGTGGGTAGTTGCTGTTGGGGACTCTCAGTGAGATTAATGGTGGTTTTTTTTTTTTTTGTAAGAGTTGGTTGTGGATTCTGAGGGGATGAAGAAAATCAGAGGGGATTTGTTTAAGAGACGGCAATTATTCAACTATTGTTGATGAAATTGGTGTAAAGAATTATCTACTAAACATGGACAAATAAATGTAGTGAATTTATGGCTTGGCTTTTCTTGCTTAGCCTTGAATATTTGCATTATATTTATAGCTGTACATTTGAACTGTAATACACGATTGTAGGAGAAAGTTAAGATATCTATCTAGCTGGAGATATTAGACACATATTGGACTCTTGAATCACCGCAAGAATGGACTCATGCTCCATAATTTTCTACCAAAGTATCCGATGGTTTAACAATTGGAATGAAGTTGGATTTTATGTGGGTATGTGAGAAATTTGACCAACTGAAGCGTGAAGAAGCAGCATCCTTTTGATTTCAGAAGTTCGAGCAATGAGTTGTTGGCGTACAAAGGGATTGTCATCTATGGATTGAATTGAATAAGCTGAATGATTGAATTGAACTTCAACTTAGTACTTCAATTTTGTTGTTTAACTGAGATGGATGTGCAAGTTTTTGATCTGACACACTGAATGTAGATAGAGGTTTATATGGTTGGAGTAGAACCAGTTGAGTTGACAGGGTAAAATGGTCGCGGACAGAGAGAAGGGAGCATCATCGGCCCATAATCCCGCAGCTGAACAAACTTTCCAATTCATTCCAACCCCCATGGTGTCTTGTAAGACGAGGTCAGGCGGTGTTAATTCTGGACCAGCAGCAAGTATTTGCAGTCAGTCGATTGCTCTCGATGTTCCAACCGAGTCAAGAGGAATTGAAGAAGAATTAAATCTCAGGCTGCTACAAGAAATTCACTGCATTATGGAAGAATTTGAAGTCTTGTACTAGTAAATGTTTAGCAGCAGTTGTGGTGATGGTTTTGCGGATTCTTGTTAAGAAATTTATATAAGTGATGTGCATTCCTGTAGAATGTATAATGGATGTAATGTGCATTTGTGTTAAGAAATTTAGTTCAATTGAAATGTCAAGATGTTATACCTTCTAGTTTCATGCACCTTATGCTTAAATTGGTGAAAAGCTCCAACAAAAACAACATAGCATTGAACGAAATTTCTCAGCTTGAACTAGTAAAAAAATGAAGGCAATCTTCACAAACGATGAGCAAATGTCTTCACCATAATCAAGTCATAACATAAACATTAGGGAATGCAAATCACAGCAATCACCAATACATTAATTTCAGCACATTGGCCAAGAAAATTCAGACACACTACAAGACTCTGTACACCACCAAATACCAATATATATCAACACATTGAGAGGCTTTAATTGATCAACAAGCTGAATCATCATAGTGGACAATCTCCATTTATACTTCCTTTCCAGGCTCTTCTTCATCCATCTCCATTTCGACTTCCTTTCCAGGCTCAACAATTTCTTCTTCTTCTTCCACAGTCGACATCTTGCTCCTCCTTATAACTTGGAGAGGGTATCCTCATCCTCGTCATCTGCAAAGTCTATAGTCTCAGCAAAAACAAAATCATGCCAATCAATCATTACCATCTATAGCCTCTCCTGCTCAATCTCATCTTCAGCTTTCTGCCTCGCCTGCTCTGAATTGGGAGCTTAAAAATCTGAAATGTGAAAAAATAAACTCTCTGAAAGCTTTAAGATCGTGTATATAATTTTCAAAAATTGCAAAAATGTAAATAACATAAAAAGGAAAAATCCATTTTGCCATACAATTAAACCACATTAAGCAAGAATAAGTGCAAATGATCAAAGTTTAAGCCACCATTAACAATGGAAACGTGATTCACAATTACGGGTTTCGAAGTAGTTGTCCCACTTAATGGTTCGATTAGGGGGAGATTTGATTTGGGGAAAATGGAATTCACGCTTACGGGTTCGATTTAGTACAACATAAGAATAAGCTGCATATCAGCATATGTTTCTAGTTTGTTTCTCTACCTCCATACATTTCAAGATGCCCAACTCATAGTCCATAGTCTCGGCATAATTTCTTTGTCGAGCATTCCAACATGTGCCCACACTTCCTACAGCTACAACAAACACCCTTGTTTCTCCTTGCCATTCTGGATTAATATGTGTAACCAAGAAATTCAGAAACAGTTACGTTTAGCGACAAGTCAGTTGTTTCAATTACATAATCTACTAAAAATAACACGCAGAAAGTCAAAAAAGATGTGTCATAGGCTTAGTTTTATTTTCATATAAGTAATTAGGCTTAAACATCATTTAATCCAGATCAACATCCCATGAGTTAAGCATATCCTGAAGCATTCAAACTGATTATCGTAATTTAGCATTTAGCCTTTTGCATCTATCTATATGCAGAACTATCATACAAATTTGAAATGCATCCTTCGGGTATCGTTCGGTATGCAACTCGTAAGTCAGGTTTTGGGAGTTCGCCAATGGATGTTCGGAATTGATTTGGGAATTAAGTTCGACTTTGCAATATCGGGTTGAATGGTTCAGCCTTCTCGTGGTTCTAAGCTTTCAACAACGGGATTTTGGGTTTGGGTTTGAGATTTGTGTTGTGGTTTATCCTTCTCGTGTTTTCAGCTCCTGTATGTCAGATTTTGGGTTCAATTTGCAGAACGAATCGACATGGATTTGGGAATTAGGGTTGGAGATTCATTTGTGTGGATTTGGGGCTAGGCTTAAGAGTTTGTTTGGATGATTTGTTATCCACGTCACCACGTGTACAAATCATTTAACATTTGGTCATTTTAACGGCCAAGTTAGCTTACCGTCGACCACGTGTACGTAATGACAGACGGAATTTGTTCGGTGGCCATTTTAGTGTAACGGAAGTAAGTTCAGTGGCCAATGGGAAGCATCGTTAAGTTCAGTGGCTAATCCGTGACGATGTGTAAAATACAGTGGCTAATGAAACAATTAACTCGGAGCCAAACAAGCAAGGGCAAAAATTAATAAAAGAGTCTATTCATCCTTTTTGTTCAAGTTGGTTCTCAATAGAAGTTCCTCTACTGTTTAAAAAATAGTACAGTACGTTCAGTTCCGTTTCTGTCCACCCGAACGACGAAACCCTACCCGAGTCAGGCAAGCCTCCGTCGTTTCTAGACAATATTGCAGCAACCGTCGTCGCCATCGCCGCAACGAGCAATCGAACCAATCTCGAAGCTAAAAGAAAGAATCGAAATCCTAATAGGAGGCTAAGAGAGTCGATGTCGACGTCGGGGCAGCAGCACTTCCGGTCCACGCAAACGCCGTCCAAGGTTCTTCACCTACGGAATCTCCCGTGGGAGTGCTCCGAAGAAGAGCTGGTCGAGATCTGCAAACCCTTCGGCAATATCGTCAATACCAAGTGCAATGTCGGCGCCAATCGCAACCAAGCCTTCGTTGAATTCGTATGTCTTTTTATCAATTGTCTTGTAAAATAATCTGAATGTTACCGGTGAATCAATTAGAAAGGAAAACTTGTAGTAGGAGAGTAGGGTCTTTTTATTATTGTAACAATTTGAATTTCACTGTGTAGAAAAATGAGGGGGGAGAGAGAGATATTTTTTCATGGACTATTAGTAGTATTTCTGGTGGGGATATAAATTTTACTTTGTCCTTATTTCAATATGCGAATGCATACAACAGATAGACCTGTTTATGCAGCCATTCTATATATTCAAATCATATGCTGTTAATGGTCAAATAAAATTGGTGATTCAGTTCATCCAAAAAGATGGAAAGAAACCTGACAATTCTGACCAAATTGTGTAAAAGAGAAGACAATGATTCCTGTTCATATTCATAAAATGCATTTGCTGTTTTACTGCTTGCAGTTTATATGGTTTTGAATTATCTAGCTGCTTCATGTTGATGGGTGTGGCCTTTATCTTTTTGGTTTTCCTTTTCAGGTGGATCTTAATCAGGCAATTAACATGGTTGCATATTGTGCTTCGGCTTCAGAACCAGCACAGGTTCGAGGCAAAACAGTCTATATCCAGTACTCGAACAGGCATGAAATTGTCAACAACAAGAGTCCTGGAGATGTCCCATGCAATGTCTTGCTTGTTACAATTGAGGGAGTTGAAGCTGGTGATGTCAACATTGATGTCATTCACTTGGTATGTCACTATAGCTGCGTATTATTAACAGTTTCTTGATAAATTTTCTTCGTGTATCTGTTCAAAGTTTAGAGATGTTGAGTATGGTTCATCTTTCTGTTATCTCTAAATAGTTTCTAATTGAATATGAATACCAGTTCTTATCATTGACTTGAAATATTTGTCATGCACAAGTAATGTTATGGTTGTATCTTAGGTGGAGGTATCCTTTTACTGTGCTGTAATGTAAAATGTATCTCTTAGTTTTGATACCCATTTTTATCAATGCAAACCTTTTGTTTCTCATCTCTTAATCTTTTATGTTTTCCATGCTACCAATAGTTTCCTTATGGCCTGTAGTGCACTTAATCGATATGCAGTGTGATGCAGTTTGGCACAAATCATTAAGAAACTTTGGTATTATGCTTTTGGGTATCTGTTACCTATTATGCAACGACATTGACATGTGTGTCTGACATGATACATGTTGGATACTTCGACACATAATTTTTTAAAAAAAGTATTGACACAATACGTCGTCGACTGATTGATAAAATTCTTAAAAAATCTTCATTTATATAGTATAAATTTAGTTTTATACTTGTTATTAATTTTTTTTTGTTGAAATCCTTTAAATATAAATACCAAGTTGTTATTTAGCCCCTGTTTGGCACCCATTTTTTCCTCATTCTCATTCTTTTTCTCTTTCTTCATTTCGACCACACATTCTATCAATAAAATAATATTACACATAAACCTAGAAATTCTCTTTACTTTTTAACCACACATTTTTCTATCAATCACTGTTCAAAAACACATTTTTCTACTAAAATGGGTGTCAAATACTCAATTACTAATAATTTTGAGTTAAAAATATCTAATATTTCTAATAAAAAAAGAAAAATGATCATGGTATCATACACGGTAGAGTGTCCGAGTAGTGTCGGTATCCGACATGTGTTCGACATGAACGCACTACCCTAGTTGAAGTTTTCGTGCAACGGAGTACGTTACAATTGGCAAATTTGGTCGCCGTCTATGCTTGTTAAAAGTTCAGTTATCATATGCAATTCTAGTTTCCCCATAGAAATGACAACTTCTCTGAATTATGTCAACTTTGAATTCAATTGATTGAATCACAGTTGGTCATTGTTTAGAATCTTTTGTCGGAGACAGTCTGGATTTGTTGTCACATGCATTATACTGCTTTATAAGATCTATTTTCTCACTTCCATTCTTCTGCACTTGTATACTGGGATTTTCTCTTGCTCGTGCTGTTTTTTGTTTGATTTCTGTTATATGCTTAAGTTTTCTGATATATACATTTCAGGTGTTCTCTGCTTTTGGTTTTGTGCACAAGATTGCTACTTTTGAAAAGG